CAAGCAATTCTTCCAGTTTGGGGGGGTTGATAATGGATTATTTGTTACAGAAAAGCATCACAATTAACTTTGAATTTAGTAAGAAATTGGGGGGTATTTCCTATTATTAGTGCATTCTACTTAACTGGTTTTTTTGTTTTTATTAGGTTGGGGTTTGATTGAACAATTGCTGAAAAATTGAGGCCAAAGGAATAAATTGTGGGCTGCTGAGGCAATTTTTGCTGAGCTGGACGAAAAAGCACCTCCCTAGACAAGAAGCATCTTGCCATTAATGAGTATGTCTCTCATTTGAATTCCAAGAGGCATGCTTGTCCCACAGTCGAAATTCCAGCCACCCCTGCTGATCAATGAGATTAATGCTGCCACTACTAGAAGAAGAGAAGAAGACCAGTCAAGTTTGGATTCCTAGGTACAAGGCATAGGGAGGATTAAACAAGTCACAAGCATGGGAGGCTCTCATGATTAAAGAACCGGCTGCAAGGCCGTATAAAAGGGGAACTTCACTCTCAGAAGAAATCATCTCTTTGGTTACCCTTTCAGTTGCCAAAAACACACAGAAAAAAATCCAGGAAGAAGGCAAGAAGGGAGAAGGAGCAACACCCACTCAGTAAGGAAGCCAAGTTGAAGAACAACCATCCCAGTTTCTGCATCAGTTCCATGAGTGAACCCCTTCACTCTCAGAAGTGGCTCAGAACTGCACAAGTTTTTTTCTCATCTCTTAACTGTTAGCTTGAACTTCGTTTATTATACATACTTCTATGATGTCTGTTGATGTAGTAGATGTAGCATTAATCTGCATGAGTAGCTAAGCAGCTTCCAGGGGTTATTCTCCTCAACCTATGTTGTAGTTGTGTAATGCACTGGTTCTGTTCCTTGTTTTGAAGTTGAAAGTTTTTCTACATTCATTTACTTGATCACTAAATTGAATGCATGCTAGAACTAAGGGAGATCTGGAAAGATAAACTTGGTTTGGATTGTTTCAACTTTAACTTATGACATAGAGGTAACAGTCTATGGTTTTAACTAAGATAGGAATATACTTAGTTAACATAAGCATTCTTGAAGGCCTAAGAACTTAATGACTTTGTATCTGGGATCAATCATTGGAAAATAGATTGTTAAGGTTGCAAAGATGACTCTAGGAAAAATGGGAACTGACTTAGAGTTATAAGTGAGCTGAATGAACAAGAACTCAACCATTACAGTGCTAATAAACAACTACAGCAGTAGGAAGAGGAGATGAACACCCCTGGCTCTCATTCCCCTGAGTGATTGTTTCCATTCCCCTGAGTGACACCTTGTCTGACTGGTAGTCTTGTTTTAACAACAAATTTGGTAATTAGCTGTCCTCGTGGGATCGACCTAGCTTCCATTATCTACAAAAATCATAATCCAAGCTAGTAATATTTTTGGTGAACTCGGCATGCACCTCTTGGTGCACCTAGAAAACTAGGGTTTGGCTTTGTTATTCATGGGTCGTTTAGGGGCTTTTTATGTAAAAACTCAATATTTATGGAATCGTTTTAACCTTGATGTAGAAATACAAGGAGTTCTTTGCGTTATTGGAAAATACGATGAGCTTCAGCTTGAACATGTTCTAATCCAGACAGATAGTAAGTTGGTAGCTGATATGATTCAAAAGGAGAGCAACTATCCATGGAGGTATTCTTTTTTATACGAAGGAGATAGTGGCTATAATGAAGAGGAGGAGATACAAAGTAGCACATATTTATAGAGAAGCAAAAGCGATCGTTGATGCCTCGTCGAAGATAGCTTCTGCGAGAACTACAATTAACTTCGATCTTTTTGAAGCTTTGCATCCAAACGTTAAGGGTCTATTGATTTTAGATCAAAGATTCTTTCATTATGTTAGATCAAAGTGTACCGAGTTTATTGATTTCTTTCTCATTTCTATAGGGTTAGCTCATACACTGCCCTACTCTTTTGAGAATTAATTGGAATAAATTAGAGACGCTGCGAAATATGTATGGAGAGTGCAATATTCATCTTAGAGGTATACCCTCTAAGTGTGTTGTGCTTTTCTGTTCATACTCTCATTGGTTTCTCTTCTTTTTTATTAAAAAAAAATTCCCCCAACAACAGCTAAACTAATTTTATGAAGGTAGTTAATGTAGTTCTACACATATTACATGAATCATTATTCTATTTCACTGTCTTTTTTTAAAAAAAAATAGTGAAATATGATGATAAAAATGACAACCGATACAGCACTAATTTATCAAAGTTACAACTATTTTGATAGTGCAACAATCATAGAGGCAACAAAAATAAATAGTGAAATCTGATAGTGACTCATGAAAGGATTATAACATCAAACAACTCTGTTTTTCTTCTTTTTCTTTTTTTTGGTTAATAAAAAACCATTCCCCAACAACAGCTAATTTTATGAAGGTAGTTAAAGTAGTTCTACACATATCACATGAATCATTATTTTATTTCACTGTCTTTTTGTAAAAGAAAAAAAAAATGGATGGCCCTAGCAAGAATCGAATCCTCAACCTCATGGTAATAACCAACTCCGATCCTAATCCTCTAACCACCCTACCCAACCCTCCCACCCCTATTCTATTTCAGTGTCTATTTTCACTAAATGTGTATCATTTCTTCTGCTAAATAGAGTGTCTACAGTAGACATAATTTTTTAAACCATTACAATGATTTAAGTTTATTAAAATTTAAATCTAATCTTTTAAAAGAGTAATCTGTTCAAATAGTCCTTTACATTTGTTAAAAAATTTAATTTGGTCTTTAACACAAATAATTCACTTGTTTAGTCAATTACATTTGTGTTTTTCATTCATTTGGTCCTTTTTTACTTTTTCTGATACTTTACTTTTGGTAGTTCTTACGATCATTAGAGGTATTTTCGATAATGTTTAATTTCAATTTTTAAAAAAAAAGGAAAGAAAAATTGATTAAATTATATTAAAAATATTATATTTATTTTAATTAATTAAGATATTTTTAAAAAAATTAGGAATTTTAAATATCTTTTTTTTAAATCCGTATATTACACATCTAATGGTCTTTTTTTTTTTTAACTTTATTCCCCTTTACTATAACTCTTTCCCTCTTTTCTTAAATATCTATATATATATATATATATATATATATATAGTTGATGCCCTAACAAGAATCAAACCCTCGATTTCATTCCCTAAAAGCAACCACATTGGATGATAATTGGCCTAAAAAATTATGGCAGTTACCACCCAATCCAGTGTAGGGTATTGAAAGATGAAGAACCGTGCTTGCTGTTATTACCTGACAAAATTCTGAAAAAAAAAAGTGAGTATGATGGGCCCGAGGAAAAGAAAGGAGAGAGGAGAGAAACAGTTAATGGGTCCACAATTGTTACCCAATCCAGTAATTTCTATTGCACCAAATAATGTTTTACGGAGATGGGCCATGTATATCCAATGTGGCATAGCCTGGAACCCCATTTTTACTCAAACCATTGTTGTTGCTCTAAAAGCATCTCCATCAATTCACACAATATTACACTCTAAACCTTTGCTACATCAGCATTCTACTATCCCCTTCTTTTTTACAGTTTCTATTCCAACAATTTTATACTCATCACTTATATAATCTTGGACCCACAATGTCTCCACTATTATTATTCCACAAATACTCTATTATTATTAAATCTCGATATATTTATACTCAATACATAAATTTTATAATTTTCAAAAAAAATTAAATAAAAATAAAAAATAATCAAACAATAAAAAAATCATCCTAGATCAAAACTGAAACAAAAAAAAAAAAATTTAAAAAAAAGGGGAAAGAAGAGAGAGACGAAAAACGGAAGCACATTACACAGTGTAAATTTACTTATACTCTGACAAGTTTTGCACCACCTTCAACAATTCACCAGTATTATTTGTTTGATATTTAACTCGAATTCAACCATTCGCACAGATCTTCTAACCACTCAACTCAATCCTTTTACTCTATTTTTTCTCTCTACTTTCTTTCGTTTATGTTTTTCATCTTGTGATCTGTCCGATTTTAGAATTCGGATTCATGACAATTTGGGACTTATTAGACGGGTTGCAGAGGGGGTTGGGAAGGGAAGTTTGACTGTTTGACCGTTGGGAAGGGGGAATAAAAGTGAAAGAAAAAGAACCATTAGGGGTGGAGTCCATGAGTTAAAAAAAAAAATCAGATTTTTAAAAAAAATTTGAATTTTGAATTTTTAGTTTTTATCTTATTTTTATTTCATTGGATTGGATCAAAAAGAATCTTTGGGAATAAATCAATATAATAATTTCTTTTATTATTTTAATTAATAATTTTTTATATTTTTAATAATTAAAATTAGGCAATACCAAAAATACTCCTATAGACCTGAATCAGATATGGTCAACCAAAAACCCCCAAATGTAAAGTGTCAAAAAATAAAGAATGACCAAATTAGTAAAAAAAAACAATAGACCAAATTAGCGAATGTCTATTATAAGAACCAAATTAAATTTTTTGATAAATGGAAAAGATCATTTATCATATTACTCCTTTTTAAAAAATGATACCAGGGTCCTTTCTTTACTCTGGGCCAGTTGATTGGCTTTCTAGTATTCTTTCAACGTAAAACTACAGTGGCATCTGAGAGCCAGTATTTTTCTTTTTAATGGAATAGTACAACGGTCAAAAACGGAAAATAAAATAAAAAAGCAAAAAAAAAAAAAAAGGGTGGCACGAGTTTTTCAGAAGTGACTGGATATGCATTAGGCTAGTTCAACCAAATGGAAAGGCCAAAAAGAAAGACAAGAGACCGGAAAACACAACTCTAGAAAAAGAGGGAAAAAGTCGGGAAAAAATTGCTATTGCGAGACCAAAGTAGGAAAAAAAAAATAAAAAATAAAAAGCTATGTTGAAAATGACACGCCAAAGGGTAAGTAAATGATTAAGAAACGGAAAATATTAGTTTTCCATCCAAAAAAAAAACCCTATTTTAATGACTTGTTCCAAAATGAATTATTTTTTGTGTTGGAAAAGTATTTATCTTTTTCCTTTTCATTTCTTTCTTTTTCCGGAAAAACAAATCATTGAAAGCAACAACTCTCTCCATGCTACTTCGGCAAATTGTATGATACAGCCTCTTTGGTTTCTATCATCTTCTACTTTCATGATCAATCATTTTTCCTTTTTTCCTCTATTCTTTTGTTTCTTAGCTATTGGAAAGATTAGTGAGATGGAGGAGGAAGAAGAACACCATCATCATCATCAACAACACCATTGGCAACTCATGAATTCTCCCGAAATCGTGGAGATTTCCGACGACGGCACCGGAAACAGAAATATCGGATTGACAACTATTAATGATGTTTATGTTGCAGTTGGGAAAAATGACTTGCATGTAGTTAAATGGGCATTGGATCATGCTGTTTCACCAGGAACTCAAGTCTTTCTTGTTCATGTTTTCCAGCCTATGACCTACATTAATACACCAGGTAGCCCTTTTAAAGTTTTAAGTAAGAATTTGTCTGAAATTGTTTATGATTATACTGCTTAAACAATTTAACCAAAAATAAATAAATTGCGGTTATTACGATCATTGATGATGATTAATCATCTTGATAAATATCACAACAATTGCTACTTTCTCTGAAGAAATTGTACTAGGCCATTAGATTATGGCAGTAATTTTAAGAGGAAAATAGAACGATACTTGACCAGTATATCAATCGACATTTATTGGGTATAGTTGGAAGGCTTGCAAGAAGCCAACTGAGCAATGATCAGGCGCGAGCATACGTAAATGAAGATCGTAACAAGAGGAAAAATCTCCTGGAGAAATACATACGCCTCTGTAATGATTCGAAGGTGAGTTTAGGAAGAAACTTTTTTTTTAATTAAATGTTGCTTAATTTTGTGCCTTAATTAATCAGTATTTGACTGTTGAACAGATTTCGGTTTTAATTAAGTTTTAGTTATCATTCCGATCATCTACATTCATTGAGAATTTTTTTCAGGAGATTAATATATTAAAGTTTGAACAGGTCGAAATTAGGTCTTCTGCCTAATTTATTTTAAATTAAAGTTTGAATAAAAATAAAAAAAGAACTCTTCAAAATGAGGAAAAAACAGAATTGAGCCAACAAAATTTGAGAATTTTTTCAAGTTTTTTTTACTCTTAATTGTTGATTTACAAATATTGTTAATTAAGATCAGTACATTGATGACTTGTTTAATCCCAATTTCAAGGTTGCAGTGGACACAATCCTTTTGGAGAGCAATACAACAGCAAAAACAATTCTGGACCTAATTCCTATTGTCAATATAACCAATCTTGTCATGGGAACTAAGCGGTCGCCTTTCATAAGGTAATTCATTAAGCTACGTTAAATTTGTAATCGAAGTTGAATATATTTGTTTAAAATATGTTAGGTTATTTTTCCATCTTCATCCTTAGTGTAACTTTTTCATATATTGGTGCATTTTAAGGGAAACCCCAAGATCAGCTACAGCAACTTAATTGAGTCCTGTTTGTTTTTTGAGCACTTGAATAGTTATGGTTTTGATTAATGGTAAACGGATTTCATAGGTCATATACCTAGCGAGAATCGAATTCTCGGCCTTTTGATAATAACTATCTCTATTCTAATTTTCTAACCGCCCCATTTAACTCTCGTACTCTGTCAATTTCCAACTTACTTTAACTTTATATTGATCTTTTATTTTGTCGAATTACAATAATACTTCCGTGAAATATTTATCAATTGTAGGCAATTAAGGAGGGGTCAAGGAAAAGGAGAATATGTTCAAAAGAATGCACCTGATTTTTGTAAGGTTACGCTGGTTTATAATGGACAGAAAGTTGAAAATGGTCCACTTCAGCCAATAGAGAACTTTGAGAAAAGGAGAAGACCGGAGACTACTCCTCACAACTTTGAACGAAACTTCTTTGAGTGTATGTGCTTTTCAGGGAAGTCCAATTGAAAATTTCATAATACATTTTTTTACTTTGGCTCCAAAACAATTGTTTTGTTTGTGATAAAAAAAAAGTAATTATTTTGTGACAAACATATAAAGAGAAATTGTTCCTTGAAGGCTAGTGGATAAACCAATATAGAATTAATTTAACTTAGTCAGTGAAAAAAAAAATGATGATTTGGTACCTTGTGCAAATGGTGTAGAAAAGAAAATAAATTCCCAACTAGAGTCTATCTGTATTTATCCCCATTGGACTTTTATCTATCAATTTTACGCTGCAATTTTTTACTTTCTCGGAGAAAATAAAAGGAGAAGATAAACGAATTTAATGCCTGTTTGACTTTGACATTCAAATGAGTAACTAATTAAATTAACCTAAAAAATATTTCTGTTCTGACAGTTGAAGACGAATTTCCATTTCCAGTCATTTTTTTATGCGCTACATGGAATGCTAATAAGAGTGAACCAGACGGGAGAAAAGAAAAAGAATGTTATAAAAGATTATATCAATTTTGTAGTTTATTTTATACCACCCCGAAATATTTGACGCTGGGACTAGGGAGTATCATATAGTACTACAAACTTAAATCAACAGTGTTTATTTGTCAAAAATCATAATTTATTAGCATATACACGAATGGAGCACGCTGTGAAATTCATCAAGAGCACATCAGGTTACATTTGGACGTCTAAACTATAGTCTATATAATGAGAAGAAGTAAAAAAGGTCATCTAGTTTTAATCTATTGTCTCCAGAGTCTTATATAAGTTGGATTCGCCAGCTGTTCAATTGAAAAACAAGAAGAAATGCACCCTTTCTGTCCTAAAATTATTGTGCAATTTGAGATTTCACTTTTAGTACAATTTGAACTAGAAATGAAAACTCAAACTAGACAATAATTATAAGACGGGGGAGTAAGTATTAACATTATTAAGTTAAAATTATTTCTTGCGTTGTTTTTAATTAGTGTTCAATCCTAACTCGAACAAGGATATAAATATATCCACATGCATATTTCCATAGTTCCAGTAATCATATGTCCCATCTCTCTATTCAACTTGCACCAAAATTCTCCAAAAAGAATAGCAACAAAATCTTTTCTGCGATATTGCTTGATTTGTTATGTATGTCTGTAATATAGAGTGGAGAGATTCTCTCAAAATTCAAATGATGATAGACATGTGAGGCAACCCTTATGGTTGTATGTCCAATGAAATGAATGAATCTCTCCCATCTTATTATGCAATTGACGTGCTTTCCCATCAATTATTTGTTCTCACTTTTGCCCAAATTAGAAGAAGGGGTCTCATTTGTATATATAACGTGCGTATTGTGGTAAAAATTAATTGAGATTAAAAATATATAATGTAATAATTTTTAAGGTAAGAAATTTACTCTCGTAAAAAGGAGCATTATTATCGAAAAATATTTTTATTTATTCTATAATTTATAAATATAATTTTATTATTTTGGAACTAAGAGTGTAAAAACAAATTTACATTACTCATGTTTGTAAAGGCATGAGTGTTTTATCCATAAGTTTACTAAAAGAAGTGCACAGTTGCTTTTTTTGGATGGTATAGATTCATTGGGAAAAAAAAAAAAATCTATAACAGTCTTTGAAGAAGGCTTGAAAGTGGAACGGCGATCATGACGGCATTCTCTCCAACCAAGTTCGTGCTACTGGACTACATGCCCATTATCTTCTCCATATTCTATATATATATATATATATATATATCTTGTATCAATTCAATTTTGTGTATGAGATAGACATATTAATGTTGATCTTGATTTTCTATTTGGGAGACGAATGATTGAAATGCTTATCATTGTCGTTCCTACACTTTCAATAGGTTGAACTCAGAACTCTAGTGTGTGTGGCAATTGGCATCGATGTTTTTAGCCAATTGAGCCAAAAAAAACCTCTGAAAATGGACAAAATCACTACTACATTTGATCTGAAACGATCGCATGAACATTTCCTCGTCAAAATACAGCACAGAACTCAAGCACGCAACACCATTCCACCCGATTGCTGATTTTCTGGTTTTTATGTATAGTTCATTGTTCCTTAACCAAAACGTATTCTTAACAAAAAGATTAAATATTCTCTCTGTATTACTTTGGTAGTGTATTTTGTTAGACTAAAAGAAGTGTAATAAAGTGAAATACAGTATTGTATTAGTTTTTTTCCCCCAAATTCAACTTAGATAAAAGAATGTGGCATCGCACCTGTTTTTCGTGGTAAAATACAAAAATTCCCAACCATGTATATATACATTAAAGTCAGACACTTGATGAGATAAGCTTTGCCTAAATGCAAACCATTAAAGTCAGGCACACATTTCAAAAGATTTGAGATGACAATAAAAGTTGATGGTATGGTAGTGTTATCCCTAAACTATTTAATTTGACAATCACTAGTCAAGTGACAAATTTTGTTCCAAAAAAAAAAAAAAAAAAGAAATTAAACACACAAGTATGACAATCATTGATGAAAAACTAACACAAGAGTCCCTAAAGAAAATTTCAAAAAAAAAAAAAAAAGGGTCATAATTGTTGCCCATTATCTAATAAAAATTTTCAAAACTACCCTAAAAAAGGTAACATTAATGAAAATAAATATATGCTTATTCTAATAGGGTAGATGAACTAATTAAGAATAATTCAATAACGTACCTTATACAAGAACACTTCAGACGACAAACAGTATAAAACTTGTCCCTAGATTTTTTAACGTATTACTAAAGTTCAAAATTATCTGTAATGAATCTTTTTGGCCATTAATCTACGGAATCAATTATGATCATAAGAATACGAAGAGTAAAACATGCAACCAAAAAAAAATGAAAAGAAGAATTTGAAGAGTAAATTTGTACATTTAAATTGCTGAGAAATGACATAAACACTTTGGTAGTACGGAATACTACTTCTTGATGATTTTGTGTGTTAAAATGATTATCACATTTGTTGAATTAAAAATTAGTTAAAAATTGTATAACCATTTCAGAACTGATGGAGATTTTTTTTTATTTCTCTTTTTATTCAGTTTAAGGAAGCATAAGGAGAATGTAGTGGTTGAATGGACCACCTGTCCATAACTCAACAGTAGGACATGCAGATTAAACAAACATAACTCTTCCAATAACAATACAAGAATTAGCACATGATACATCTCTGGAATTTGAAGTGGATTATGCCATCATTATTCATTCAAATTAGTGTTTGATCATCTTGCTTCAGCACAGCCACTAGGAAAAGAGGAAAATGCAGATCTTCATGGATCATGATGAAAAGTGAAAAGCTGCAAAAAAATCCAGTTCATCTATAGTGCAAAACTTCTCTTTCAACTTCACTTCATGTAATAATAAGACAGCATATCATGCCACTCGCATTTCTCAATGGTAGGGTGATAAAAATCTTTGCAACTCCAAGTGGGCTGCTGCTGTCTTGTGGGATATTGAAACCCTTTAAATAGACATCTCAAGGTATCATATTGCCCTGCATACTGAACTGCAGTTCTTGATCAAGGTTGGCTGTCGTGAAAATGGGAGGAAAAACTTCTCTGCTTATGCTCAGAATGCTGATGGTTTTACTCTTTTCTGGTTGGATTTCACTTTGGGTTCTTAAGCCAACTGAAATGTGGGCAAAGAAATGGAAACAAGCTGAAGAAAAAGCTACCAAAACGGTGTTTAACTATAACGGTAAGAACGAACAATATTCTCTGTGATTCAAGTACACTTTAAATCCCTTGATTATTGATATCTTAACCAAAAAAGAAAAAGAATACCTTGATATTGTTCTCTTCCATTAGGTCTAGATTTTGCAGTCTACACGCTTCCATTTCTTGCTTTTGCAATGGTGGGATTTGTGTACCTGGAAGTGAAATCAAAGAGGGAAGTGATTAGGAGGTAAAAAGTTTAAAAAGTTTACTGGTTCAGTTTCAGTCCCTCTGAAATATTCCTGAGCAAACCCCCAACTGCTTGTATGTTGCAGACCAGAAAAGAAGTTGATCCATGATCTGCATAATCCTCTTGTTGTTAGTAGAAATGTTGGCATTTTGACTGGATTTGAGATACTTATCGTCTCCGTCTTCATTGCTTTTCTGTCATGGACCTTTTATGCTCACATTTCCAATGATTTCAAGAAGTTGGAGCCTATCAAGTCATTGAAGTTGAACGTTAAGTAAGCAATGAGCTCTATCTCGGCTATCTCTAAGAGAACTTAAATATGAATAAAGTTCACCTTTTAATTCACGTTTCAGGTGGCAATACAAGTTCTTCAAGGTGGCAACCCGTTACGGTCTGCTGTCAGAAGCCTGCCTAGCTCTCCTGCTACTTCCAATTCTTAGAGGAATGGCAATTTTTAGAATCCTTGGCATCCAATTTGAAGTTTCAGTCAGATACCATATCTGGCTAGGGACAACAATGATGCTTTTTGCCACCTTACATGGAGTTGGAACATTTTTCATATGGGGGATCAAACATACTGTTCAGGATAAAGTGAGTTGCATCTTCATTCCTGTTGAACTACCATCATGCACAGATGTTCTTTTCAAAACACACACAAAAAAAAGAGCGCATCATTCATCAAGTTGATACGTTTATATAGAATGACTAAAATAGATTCTCTTTTCATCTTGGAAACCTATTTACCTCATATTTTTCTTCTGAGAAAAACAGATGTGGAGATGGCAACCAACAGGCCGCATATACCTTGCTGGGGAAATAGCTCTCCTTGCCGGATTAGTAATGTGGATGACATCCCTTCCACAGATAAGGAGGAGACATTTTGAGATATTCTACTACACACACCACCTTTACATTATTTTCTTCGTATTCTTATTGTTTCACCTAGGAGACCGCCATTTCTATATGGTATTACCCGGCGTGTTTCTCTTTGTTCTCGATAAAGTTCTTCAATTTGTGCAATCTTGGCCTCAGACATTCATCCTTTCTGCTAGAGTCCTCCCATGCAAAGCCGTTGAGTTAATACTTCCGAAGGACCCAAGTAAATCCTCAATCCTCATTTTGGAGGAATGTCTTCATCAATCCTTCAAAGCACTATTACTAACTAATATTGAATATCATTTATGCTTTTAGAGCTACACTACTCCCCGGGAAGTGTGATATTCATCAAGATACCACATATTTCCAAGTTGCAATGGCACTCCTTCAGCATAACTTCTAGTTGCAGAGTTGACAAAAGCAGCTTGTCAATTATGATCAAAAGTGAGGGCTGGTGGACAAGTGCTCTCTATAATCTCATTCTAGCCACACGCGATGGCGAAGCTGATCAAATGAAGTGCCTTCCGGTAGCTGTAGAAGGCCCTTATGGACCTAAATCTGCCAACTTTCAGAGGTACTAACAATTCCAAATTTTAATCCTTTGGGTATGCTTTGGTTAGCATAGTTCACTTCTTTGTTCCATGACAATTCTCTGCTCCATGAACTTCATTACAGATACGACAGTCTTGTTCTTGTGGCTGGAGGAATTGGCATAACACCGTTCCTCAGTATCTTGCAAGAGATTGCAGCTACACCAAGCAATGCCAAACATATTTTACCAGAGCAGATACTATTGATATATGCAGTGAAAAAGTCGCAAGACATCTCCCTATTGAATCCAATTCTGTCTCTAATTCCAACTGGTCAAAGAAGTTGTCTGAAGTTAAATATCTTTGTCACCCGGGAAGTCCAATCTGATAGAAGAACACTAAAGGAACTACTGGATGAGGGTTTTCAAGTGCAAACCATTAACTTTGACACAAGATGTTCTAGAAATGCAGCACAAGAAGTTGAAAGTTTACCATGGATGACTGCCGTGATTGGGCTTTCATCTGTTATTTTTCTTGTATTTCTAACTTGTTTCAACCTCTACATTCAGCCCCTTGTCAAAAACCATGGAGCAAAGGTTCCCTCTTCTGTGACAGATCTCCTTCTCTTGTGCTCTTTCACCATCGCAATTATATGCAGCTCTCTACTGGCCATCTTCTTGAGATTGAAAAGGATGAGGAAAGAGACACCGCCGTTCTCAGGAGTACTAGAAAAGACAGCAAAACCAAGTTCAACACAAAGAGATCATACCTTAGTGGAACATGAAATTCATTTTGGAGGGAGGCCAGACTTCAAAGGTATTATTTTCCTGAACCTCATTTATATAGAATGCATTACAATGCAGAGGATTTAACAAACAACTTGCGTTTTGAACAGAACTCTTTCGCAAATTCACGAAGGAAATAAGAGGATCCAATGTAGGTGTATTCGTCTGTGGTCCTGAATCAATGAAAGAGTCAGTGGCATTGACATGCAAACCAAATTCTCCTGCTTTCAGAGTGGATGGGGAGAAGAGCAAGCTTTCTGTCAACTTTCACTCCTTAAACTTCACACTGTAGCCTCTAAATCTCTCATAAATGCTTTCAAGCTTCATGCTACTGGAGAAGCGATGCTAAATACAAAATGTTTAACAAGATGCAGTGTTTTTAAGAGCTAAATTATAACCAAAATGTGATATTTTTAACAAGATGCAGTGTTTTTAAGAGCTAAATTATAACCAAAATGTGATATTTGCAAGAAGCTTACTGTAATAATTGCAAGAATGTTGCACCAGAATCACAAATGAATCAGTTGAAACCAGAAAAGAAAAGGATGCTCGCATTCTAAATCAATAATTATCATCGCTGGTAGCATGTTACCATCATCCAGCCTGTGCAACATTTAGTGATCATTGCATCATTTGATATCTATTGAATTAATTATCAGTCAATGCCAAAGACACGTTAATGTTCTAATTATCAGTCATAAAAAATGAAAATACAAAAAAAAAAAAAAAAAAGATATCCAGGAACTCCCCTTCAGTTAGGCCTTATAAACCCCCAATATTTTCTCTTCCAAATCCATATTTAAGCCTAACAGGCTAATATATCTGTCCAAGAAGAGATCAACAGCATGCAGAGAATGCATTCATCGATTAATTGGCAAGATAAGGATCAGTTCATTCCAATCGATCAGCTTGGTTGCACTTTTGTTGCTTCAATTTGGCAAGTCATATACATATTATAACTAAATTCATTATTTCCTTTTTTCCCATGTTTGGAAACAAATTTTTTTCCATCACGTTGTGATTTTGTATCCTTTGTAATGCCGAATAAAGCAATTTTAAAATTATCCAGTAATGTCCAAACTGAAGTAAGTACAACTCTGATTATCAATTTCAAACTTAGCTCTGAGTTCACATTCGAGATGACTTCGAGATATATTGCTTCTCTGTAACTAAGATGTGTCTGGTCTTTTGGACACTGGATGGACGAATTAGGCAAAATTACAACCTTCCGCTAGTTGTTTAATTCTCTACCATGAAAAAGTTTGAGACTGATAAATTGTTTGTTTACCTGATCTTTAGCGGCTTCATTCACCGACTAACCGCTTCATTAGATCAAAAGTGTGTGCGTGTTGTTACTTCTAATTTTTTCTGCTAATTCAGCTTTACTAGGACAGCAAATAAAGGCCAAGGAGCTGCTAAAACCCGGAAGGTAGGTTTCATATGGGTTGATCTTAACCGCTGGTTTTGGAAGCGTCAGCTTAACAGAGGGCAATGTTGAAACCAGGGATCGTTTAACTTTAATGGAAGCATCAGAAGCCACAAGCCCACAAAGCCAGGGAACAAACTCTTCTGTATTTTGTCATGAATTCCATCATGTATACTCTGATTTAGGAAAGCCCCAATTGCCAAAAAAACTGATAAAGCGCCAATAACATCGACAAATGTCCATGAAGTTCTATCGAGGTTTCTACTTTACAATGTTTGAACAAAAATACCATTTCAAATCAAACAATAGAACACAGTAAGTGAAGGTATGTATTCATTGTTCCATTGATCATCTTGAAAATAAGTCTTAGGGCAGAACAGAGAAGCTACACACGGCACTAAAGTACAAGAATGCTACTGCAATATTTGCAAGAATGCTGAACTACAACAAGACAATGAAGGAAAAAGAGATGTACAAAAAAAAAGAGTAACATGGTATCACTCTCCAGTTATCCACTCACCAATGTACATTAAACTCTCACAAGCATTACAAATTTACAGATGATAACGATTGAAAGGTAAGAAGTAACAATGAAAAACAAACAGATATCTCACCTAAGTTGTTCTGGGGACAATGGCTTTTCTTCTCCCTCATTGTTGAAACCATCTCGAGAGCTGTCAACTTGGGGTGTTAATCCAGATAGCAGATCCTTTGGTGCGGCAGCTACATTTTCCCCAAGCAAAATCACCACGACCTCCCTTATTGTCGGCCGGCGAAGAGGATCAGGATGACAGCATGCCAACCCAAGTTTCAAAATTGCCTCCATTTCTTCATCTTCAAACTCCTCTTTGATTCTCTGATCAGCCACCTCTATCAATTTCCCCTCAGTATATTTCTGCCTAACCCAATCTACTAAAACTTCTTCCTCCTCATTCCCGACTGAAGTATCAATAGGCCTTCGTCCACAAGCCACCTCCAACACCACGACTCCAAAGCTATAGACATCACTAGATGCAGTTGGTGTAGCCATGGTAGCTACTTCAGGGGCTAAGTACCCAAATGTGCCCACAACCCGAGTTGTATTAGGCCTTTCACCATGAGTGTACAATTTTGCCAGACCAAAATCACCCAACCTTCCTCTCATTTCACTATCCAACAGCACATTGCTAGACTTGATGTCTCTATGCATAACCACTTGTTCCCATCCATGATGCAAATAGTTCAAACCCTCTGCAACATCGCACAGAACTCGCCGTCTTCCTTCCCATCCCATAAGTTTGTCTGGTTTATCAAATATCCATCTGTTCAGACTTCCATTAGGCATGTAATCATACACCAGCATCAGTTCGTTCCCTTTCCTGCACCACCCTCTCATAGGCACCAAATTCTTGTGCTGAAGCCTACCTATTGTTGAAATCTCGGCCATGAACTCCTTGAGCCCTTGTCTGGAATCATGGTTCACGCATTTCACTGCGACTTCCACGTTATTCTCTAGGTTCCCCTTATAAACTTTACCAAATCCACCAGCTCCCAGAAGCTCATTCTTAGAAAATCCATTGGTAGCCTTTGATAATTCCTGATAAGAAAACCTATGAGGCCAAAACTCTAGCTCCCAATCCTCAATCTCCTCATCCTCTTGGATCCTCTTTCTCCACACAAACCAATAGAACAGAAATGTCACAACTCCAAAAACGAACAAAATGCAACCGATTACAATCCCAGCGATCGCTCCACTTCCCAGATTATTACTCGACGAACTTTCCGGCCTAAAGACGGGTAAATTCGTGGTGTTAATTTCTCTAGCCACACCATTATCACTAAAACTCCAAGCTAAAATCCTTTGTGCCTCAACCCAAGTAGTTTTGGACGCAGAAAAACCAACATACATTTGGTCAATCGTATAGTTGGCCAAGGCAGGACTGGTAAAGTTAATCAGCGGCCGGCTCGGCCTTCTCACACCAACAGGCGCAATTGACACATTGATCTCATTCCTTGGCCCGTCAAAATCAATCCAAGCATGAATGTTTTGCCCATTCCGCATTCGAAAAGAGACAAAATTTCCAGTACTATCAAAGTACCCTGCACTCTGAGTAACTCTGGATTCTATACTATTCAAGTCAATCCCGACATGATTATCATCCGGGTCATTAAACTCCGGGTTCCTCCCGGCGTCAAACTCAACCACAAGAAGCGGGCCCGGCGGAGCATTAAGCTGGGTCGAGAATACCCCGAAGTACTGCCCGGCAAGGGCGTTGGGAGGGGAAGTCGAGCCGGATAAGACGAAGGCGAGACCGAACCCGGGACTGGTGGAGATTTGAGGAAGGATGGAGAAGACGAACTGGGTCGAAAATGAAGTGGAAATGGAAGATGAATTGGGGCTGCTCTTGAATCGGACTGGTGAAGGGTAAAATGCTCTGCCCAATGAGAACTGGTTAGAGTCATTGGTGAGACGGATCACCGGCGGCTCAAGGCGGGCGTCGTTAGTGAGGTTGAGAAGAGGGGGAGAGGAAGATGACCCTCCTCCTCCGCCGCCGCCGGCGGAGGTGAATGAATTGTAGAGAAAGTCAAGGGCGTAAAGAGAGGGGAAGGCGGCGATGAGGATGATAATTGTCAATGATACAGCAAGTGGGAGCATTTTGACTGAAATTTTTTTGGTTAGGAAGAAAAGAAGAAAGAGGAAAAGGAATCATTGGATCATCCCCCTTAAGTTTAAGACTAATCATCCGGAAGTAATTATGTTGACTGAGTATACTTTACAGTCTACGGTGGTGTTTTCCGATTAAATTATGACCAAAATGAATGTGGGATTGACCTGGAAAGCAATCAATTCCGACTAAACAATTTCCTTTAGCTTGCTGTCTTTTGTGGACTTTCAAAATTCAGACCAGATCCTTTCTTTCCAGAGTTGTTTCAGTCCAATTTTTTTCCAACCATAATGAATGCCGGCTATTTGTTTATCACACATTACACATTTTGTGGGTGATAAAACATACACAACGAGCTTTGAACAATTCCGTTGGACCATTTTGCTTCTCTAAATATGTCAAGCAATTTCTCACGAAATTTTAGCTTCAAAATTCAAATATGTAATATATGGTTCAATTTTATGTTAATATATGGAGGATATGCATGTATCTGAATGGACGAAATAAGAAGTAAATTGTGTCCATTTTCTGTGCAAGGTGAAGTGAACAAAAGATGTGTGGATTTGCCACTAGAGTTCTTTAAATTATTCATGTTATGAAGACAAGATTCTGGATTAAATTTGATACAATGGAGAATTAAAAAACAATCGATGGAGGAATTGGAATCACTCACAGGTCCGAACTCAGAATCATTATCTGAACTCTTCTTGTGTTTGCTTAGCAAGTACTCCCTTGATCCCTTGTCAAGTTTAAGATTTCATTTCTAAGATAAATTGTATTACCTCCGTGTTAAAATGATTGTCTTGTTTAATTTTGACGAGTCATAATTAAACCCTAGACCCTAAGTTACTTGAAAGTTAAACCACCGCTTAAACCTATTACGACTAGGTTTAAGGAAACAGGTAACACCAGGTGGTGCCTCTCTCAAAATTGATATCTTCTACCTACCTCTACACCTTCTACACACGATAGATATACCTCTCTCTACTCTCCCTATTCTCTTATTAACTTAAACATCGGAGAGTCTACCCTCGGGAGCCACCCGAGGCTCTGTCTTGCAGGTTTTAGGCCGTCCGCCGCCGCCTACATCATCATCACTGCCCATCCTAAGGCACCGTGCAGATCCAAGTTTCGTCAAGTGGCACGCCCAATTGGACCGATTTGTTTGGTCTTCACAACCAAATAAATTTCTTAGCGAAGCACGAAATCTTTTGTATCTTTGGAAGCTACGGTGTTAATTTGTTACTCCGATTTTACAACTGGAAGATTATGCAAAAAATTATCTTTGTTTGGCCAAGAAGACGTCAATCGACGAGTAGCACAAGTTTTCGGTTGCACAAATAATTCGAGGAGCTACACTTGCTCCACAACTGATCGAGAAGAACAGTCCCTAAAGTTCAAAATCCGTCAAAAAGGGCAGAATATTCAGCTGAGAACAATTCCTCAATTTGAGAATTGTCACTTAATCCCTAATAATTTTAATTATTTGGTCCCTCGAAAATTGGAGTTTCGAGAGATACATCTCCTCGAAGGGGCAACCATCCCTCAAGCACCATACTACTACTCAAAGTGTTCGAGAAGATGTATTTTGACTTTTATCTACTCAACTATTACCTTCTCAGAATCGAGATAATACCTTCTCGAGTAATCAATTTATCTCGAGACAAAGGTATTTCTCAAACTTTTTTTAATATATTTTTCGAATCTAAATCAATCTACTGCTGATATCATTATCATATTACTATCATATTACGATATCTTTTTGAGCACGATTAAAGGAATTCCTCACATTACCAACCCTCTCACGGTAAAATCCTATCACCCTTCAACGAGGACAACATATTCGGAGGCACAATTTGGGACATAACCTTGGGGCAAGGAATTTAATGGATCATATGTCATTATTATCTTGTATAGCATCTCAATGATCTACACACTCGCGGTTCACCGTGCAAACAAGGATACTCGCGGTCCACCACGCAAACAAGGATACTCGTGGTCCACCGCAAACAAGGATTCTCGCGGTCCACCGTGCAAACAAGGATAGTCACAGTCCACCACGCAAACAAAGAACTCTCTAACATAAGACCTCCTCGAGACATTTTACTCTCTTTATCTTATATAGGTGTCACCCGAGAATGAAAGAGTCCGAGAATTGGGGTAACATCACGAAACTCGAGAAGATATCAACATTCACAGCAACCCATATTCTTCTCTGCGAGTCTCGAGAATATGACTTGCTAGGGGCACTTGACAAGTCAGAATTAAACCCTAGGCCTATTGGGCCTAGAATTAGGTTACTTGGAGATTAAGCGACCGCCTAAACCTATTACGACTAGGTATAAGAAAACAGGTAACACCACCTCTATGTAAGGAGGTGGTGCCTCTCTCATAATTGATATCTTCTACCTACTTCTACACCTTCTACACACGATACATACACTTCTCTCTCTACTTTCTCTATTTTGTTATTGACTTAAGTATCGGAAAGTCTACACTCGAGAGCCACCCAAGACTCTGTCTTGTAGGTTTAGGCCGTTCGCTGTCGTCTAGATCATCATCGCCGCCCGTCCTAAAATACCGTGCACATCCAAGCTTCGTCAATTTTTTTTTTCTTTTGGTACGATTTATTTAAGTTAAACCATTATTTTGGGACGAAGGAGTATACAACTCATCAAAACTTGCCAGGAGAGTTGCAGATTCAGCACTTTCATGAAGGCTTGGTGGTTGTGTTGGAAAACCCCTCCTGAAAATATCTTATAATTATAGTAAATGAAGCTATATATATAAGTTTGATTGGTAGAGAGAGGTGGAAGAATGAGTTTCCAAAATCACAGGAAGATCGGTGTTCACAAGAAGTTAAGCTCAAGAAAAGCCAAATCCATAGATATGGGAGGAGAAATCATACCCAGGGGTTACAATGTAAACTTCCACCACCGTTTTTTAATTCTTTTGTTGTACCAAAAGAGGAAAATTCCCTCAGCTAAGTTATTTGGAGTGGTAATTATCGCACGTATATTTGAAACTTTTAGAACAACTTTTATGTATTATACCATTCAGTAAAGAAAAATGATATGCATAGTCAAAATAGATAGCAAAATAGGATTGTGAATGATTAAGCACTTATAAAAATACATAATTGTTCCTTACTATGTGGCTTTAGTAAATAGGTGGTCTAATTTCGCTTTCATCATCATTCCATATAAACTCACTCACCCATTTCTTTATTTAATCTTAAACGGTAACTATTTTTTTCAATGATTTTACCACTGAATGTAATTAATAAGGTTGTCCCAAAAGTTTTAATTTTAATTTATTGTTTTTTTTAGATAAGGCCAGCAATAACCCATCATCAGCAAGTTTTTTTGTTTTTTCTTTTTCAAATAATCTAGATTAATATAGTTTCAATTTAACTATATTAACTCTCTCCTATGAGAGTTGAATCCGGTGATACGCCATGTTAATTTCCATGTTGCTTACCAATTATCATGCTCTCTTTGGTACATTCTTCTCTAACTACCAACTAATTTCCAATGTAAATTATATTGTGCGGATTTATGAGTATAGTTTAGAAATTTAATTGACATTTTAGATTTTAAAAAAAAAAGCAACTGCCCTTAATTAATCTCTTTGATTTTTATTAATTAATTATCGGAACCTTGCGAATAAGACCATAGTACAGATTGATTATTATTTTCAAGTAAACACATAAAAAATCATGCAACTTGATTTAAAAAAAAAAAACAAAAGATTAAAAAAATAAATAGGGCCAAACGCAGTGGGCCAACTGCAAATGGGTCTTAGGCTCTTTAGCAGGCACCAGGATAGCTTTAGCTACACCAGAAAACCGGCGCACCGTTTGGTTGCGTGTCAAAAGGAAAATGCTTTGAGAATACCAAATAAGCAAACCAAACCTTTCTGGTGTTTTTGTTTGTCAGTTGAAGCCAAACAATCCCCCCATACCATCGTGCCACTATTCCCCCACAGCGCCTTGACACCTGTTTGGGCCCACAAGATTACAACAGCCACGAATCCTTATTCTAGAGGACCACATAATCGGGGCCCACATTTCCTGACCCTTTTTCTTGGAGTTTTGAAATTCTCAACCTAAGCAAATACTATTCGAAATGATAAAATTGGAATATCCGAATAATTTCCCAGCCACAAGGTATTTTTACATTTGGGAGTGCTTGAAACTTGAAAGCTAAGCAAAGAAAGTGTCAAACTCAAAAATTTGGAGAAGAAAATAATGATGGTGTTATACTTGCAAATATATAAAACTCCATTATACTAATTAAATACTACCACCGGTCCTTAATATAAGACATTTTAATTTGCCTTAAGTTTCACCTGCAATGTAATTTTAATGGACGAAAAAACCTTAAAAATATATGTTCATATTCGTTATGTTCTTGTGATTGATATGACATATTTTTAAGGTTTTAAAATATAGGACATATATTTTAAAACCTTAAAAATATGTCATATCAATCACAAGAACATAACGAATATGAACATATATTTTTAAGGTTTTTTCGTCAAAAAAAAATGTGTATAATGTGAGACCTAAAAAAAGTCAAAATGCCTTATAATAAGGACCGGAAGGAGTGCAGCGTATTAATAAGAGATAATAAACTTTGTAAATTATTTATGACATTGGGAGTGCTTGAAAGTTAAGCAAAGAAATTGTCAAACTCAAAAAGTTGGGGAATAATGATGGTGTTATAATTACAATTATATAGTACTCCATCATTCTAATTTAAAATTGGTGTATTAATAGTAAAGAGATAATAAACTTAATAAGGCAATTTATATGGTGAAACATGGTTCACCATATATTGTGCACTGGTTTTAGAAATTGTAATATACGCACATAAAAAAGAAGTAAATTTAATCCCCCCATCCCCCTCACAAAAGTCACGTGCAGACTTTATTCAATTGCATGATTTTATTAAAATTGAATACAGTTTCAAATTGTTCATAATTACTGTATGCGATTTTCATAAGCAAGAAATTCAAAAGTTTTAATATAAAATCCATACTATTATTTTGCATTGTACATGAAACAAAACACAAATATTCATGACCTTAACATATAATTACAATGTTCATAACAACATAATTGGAAAAACAAAACAATATAACTTGTTGTTCAAAGGCTAAAAAATATATTTAAAACTTCCATAGGCCATAAAATATTCATAAAAATATATTACATTGTTCACATGAATACTAGTTGAACATTACTTAATACATTTATGAAAAACTCTAAATTACATCATGAACATACTACCATAAAATATACGTAAGTAACTATTATCCGTTGTCAAAGCACAAAAGAATGGGAAAAACA